GTCAACATTGGATCATTCAGAGATCCTCACTGAACTTCTTTAGAGAGTTTGCTGCACTGAAAGTAAAGGGGCTGAATAATTTTTCACGCCCAATTTTTCAGTTTTTTATTTGTTAGAAAAGTTTGAAATATCCAATAAATTTCGTTCCACTTCATGATTGTGTCCCACTTGTTGTTGATTCTTCACAAAAAATTACAGTTTTATATCTTTATGTTTGAAGCCTGAAATGTGGCAAAAGGTCACAAAGTTCAAGGGGGCCGAATACTTTCGCAAGGCACTGTACATGGTCTGGGGTGAGGTTAGTCCTGTTGTTTGGCATGTCATCCTTCAGCAGTTTCTTCTTCACTGCCCTGACAGCCTCTGTGATGGGGATGCAAGTGATGGGCTCCCTGGGCTCTCCTATAGTTGCCAACCTGTACATGGAAGAATTTGAGGACAAAGCCCTGTCTTCCTTCACTGGTACCGCTCCCAGCCACTGGTTCTGCTACATGGATGACAAATGGGTTAAAATCAGGACCCAGGAGGTAGAGGCTTTCACCAAGCATATCAACTCTGTGGATGACAACATCAAGTTCACTCATGAGGATGCCAGAGATGACTGTCTGGATTGTGCAGTCCACTTGGGAGGGGACAGAAACCTGAAGGTAGAAGTATATCGGAAACCTACACACACAGACCAGTAATCACTAATAAAAGCATGCTCTTGCTCATTTCAGTAGACTCAAGACTTTTGCAGTTTAAAAAAGGTGGTCAGTTATGACACTTCACTTTTTGTGGCTAATGCCAGCTAATGTTAGCAAACTTTTACTACTTTGTAAATAATATTACTGAGTCCGTTTTATGACTTTATTTTCTTCCTCTGATGCAATTACACTACATTTTACCATTTAATGTTATTGTGTAATTATCATGTGGGCACTTAGCTAGTATCAGTATGCTAATGTGGCATGCTAATGTAAAATTTGGGTGCAGTCTGTTAGCTTAATTTTGTTATAACCTACAGCAACTGGCTCATTTAAATTGACAACTACTTCTCAACTAAATTGTGTTAGGGTTACTGTTCTTTTTTAACTACACAGACTGACTGAGCTAACATCTCACAACAATTATGGCATTTGTGTTAGCCACAAGTGCTAAATGAATAATGAAAGGAAAACACCTGCTGTGAGATTGTTCTGTCATTCTGACTCTTATAGATGAAGACGTCTTGTTTTCCCAGTAGTACATTATCAAAGATTTTCTCCACTGATCAAAATAGTAGTCACCATATTTGCATTTACAAGAAAAAATAATTAACATGATGCACAACAGTTACGATTCTTTCATGTCTCTGTTTTACACAAAAACAATATTATATAATGGAAAATATTTATTTTGTCACATATATGATTATTAGTTACATTTATTGCTATGTTACACAAGTAACAATTTATTTGCTGGTGGATCTAGAGTCCCTCTGTAGAAAAATATATCCTTTTATCTACATAATTCATAATGGATGGACTTACCATCAAAGTACGTATATATATACTGTATATGTACAGTAAAGTTTTTAACATTTTCAGGCAAAAGTGTTAAAAGTTTGTTTTTCTTTGTAACAAAAATTTAAAAACTATGCATTGTAGTTTATATCATATATTTATTTATAAAGTGCTTAACAGACATATATAGTCATAGTATGCAATCACATCTTGTCATATTAGCTATTTTGTAGGTTGCTGGTGGTGGAGTATCCTTAAGCAATGTGAAAGCTGTTATTTACATTATGCATACAAGTCCTAGGCTGGTACACCCACCTCCTTTCCATGGTGGGGAAGGAGGTGTGAGTTTGCTGAAATCACAACAGTGAGCAGGTGACACCAGCATCTTCAGAGTGGTCACAGTTGTGCACATTCCAGGATATATGGGAGCACTCGTGCAGGGAGGCTTCTGCGCCGCTGCACTTCAGATTGTCCAGCAGGATTGTTCCTCTTCCAGGCCCGAAGACAGCTTCTCCCAGAGCCGCTGTGGCCACTCCGCAGCCCACCTGGCGACATACAACTTGAGCATCAGGAAGGTCCCAAGCATCATCACACACTGTACCCCATCCAGAATTTAAATAAGTCTCCACTCGACCCTCACATTGATGTCGGCCACCCATCAGTCTCACCATTCCTTAAAAAAGGAGTCAGAGTGTAAAATGAGAGTCTGAACTGTTTTTGAGGCCCATTCTTTAGGACATGAACTCATTTTGAGTTACTTAACCTACCTTCAAGGGGTTGTGTGGTCATGCTGGTAGCAAGTATCCTTTCTGTTAACCTAAAGTCAAGTCCAGCAGCAATGTAGTATTCAGAAGCTTGGGGAAATAATAGAGAAAAGCAGAATAAACAGAATGATGATCTGCAACCTGGGAATACTCAGGAAATATCAAGTCACAAAAGTCTTTGCCAATTCTAATTACCTGCTGACGGCAGAATTTCTCAAGAGCACAGATTAAAACCGCTGCATTTTGAAAACAAATGTACTCTATACTCATGTTTTCCTATCAACCGAAGCCAAGGATAAGTAAATGAGGGTTTGTATGTGCCTTTGATTTGGCCTTAATGAAGTGAAATGCCTGTGGGCATACAGTGACGCTGATGCGCCTTGACTCATCCACTGTATTTTTATGGTCTCTGGGCTGTCCCCTCCTCAGAGTAATACAGTCATACATTGCAACCAGATAGCTCAGCAGGGCAGGCGTAGATGAAACAGGAAGTATCAGCTTTCAGTAGAATTGATGACTTAAGATGTTTTTGATTGTAAATACAGACATCCCATATGTTCAGTTTTGTACGTGTATGTCATAAATTAATGCCTAATGGAGCCTGCCTTGTCCCTATATAATGTTAGGGATGTCTAGCCAAGTCTTACATGCACAGATGACTCCAGCATCCTCATGATGGCCACAGTTGTGCTGACCCCAGCCCAGGTGGAAGCATTCTGAAAGCGTCGCTTCAGATCCTTTACAATCTACATTGTCCAGCAGGATTGGACCTTTACCATACCCAAAGAAGGCCTGGCTCTTAGCCTCAGTAGCTGGGCCACAGCCAAGCTGCCAGCACACCACATTGGCGTTGATGACGTCCCAGTCATCATCACACACTGTCCCCCAAATAGTTTTGTAGAGGACCTCGACACGACCCTGGCAGCTATTGTCACCATTTACTAGACGAATGGCTGGTTTGTCTATGCAGAAATAAACAGACAGGTTCACCATTGCAATGTTAGAATGAACTGTTTTTTTAATCAAATCTATATGTTTGATAATTGTATGAAAGGCTATAATAAAATATTTAATTGTGTTTACAAAGCAGTTTATTGTTACCCTTTGTCTGGGCAGCTGTGGTAACAGTTGTTGTACTTGGTGATTTGGTCACAGGAACATTTTCTGTTGCTGGAAGAAATATGTAATATGTAACAAAATTACTTTCCAGCTCAATAGACCAGACTACCAGGTTTTAATGATCACAACAGGGATCATCTGTTGCACACTTTCACCACTATGTTTTGTGGCCCTGTGATGCAACATATTTTAAGGGTGCTTTCACACCTACAGCGTTTAGTTCGATTGAATCGAACTAGAGTTCGTTTTCCCTCTTGGTGCGGTTCGTTTTGTCTGGTGTGAACACGGTAATCGCACTCGAGTGCGCACCAAAACAACCGCACCGAGACCCCCAAAATGAGGTGGTCTCAAACCGCATCATCTAGCGAACTCTGGTGCGGTCCTCCTGGTGAGAACGCGTACCGAACCAAAACGGGACCAAAGGCCGTGAATCACATGATATAAGGGCATTGGATTATGGGTAGATTTTATTTCCTGTCACCCAAAACATGCGCCAGGACGAATCGTGGGCAAACTGTACGACTTGGTTTAAGTGGTAAATGCAAGTAACGTAATACAAAATAACCAGGGCGAGGCCCAAACCACGTATATTGACCTCCATCCTCTCGCGGCAGACACATCTGACCAATAAGCGAAGAGAACGTTCTCGCGTAGTTTTACGTGACGTGTTTTCGTGCGCTTGGATTTTTCTGTGTGTGAAACGAAACCGAACCAAGGAGACATGTTTACAAACTCGTCAACTGATTCGGACCAAAGCAAACGAATTAAGGTGTGAAAGCACCCTAAGACAGTGGGGGAGATATGGCGCACCCTCTTGGTCATTTAGCAAAAGTGTAAAAAAAAAAAATAAAAAAAAAAAGGTGAAAAAATTACAAGCTAAAATTTCAGAGGTGCCCACACATTTTTGGCTTGCGAGCTACTTTTCAAATGACCAAGTCAAAATTATCTACCTACAGTTAAAATACTAAACATATATTTATTTATATACGGAGTATACCTTATGTAAACACAATATATGTGGCGCACCTTGCATAACTGCATGAACCTTAAGCCACACTACAGTTCAGTACTTTTTTGGTCATTATTTTACTCTGATGACTTGCACTGAATGGAATCAGCCAGGGCTACATACGGGGCTACATAGTCCGGACGGTAGCTGCTGGTAGCCTCCAGCAGACTTCCAAATGGTCATCTGTCATGGTGGAGCGGTATTTGAACTTAATCTTCGTGTTAGAAAATGCTGACTCTCACAAATAAGTAGAGCCAAATAATTCAGTCAATGGCACATTTCCTCATGTTTGGGTACTTTTCCTCTGTAAGTTCCAAAACGGTCCATTAGCCCTGGACTTCAGTCAGTCTGCTTTGTGTAGCGCGCAATGTCAAGCTGCGCACATGCTTTCCATTGCATCTCCAGCTCTGATGCGAGGTTTTGGAAGTTCCCCAAAATGTTGCATTTTTCGTTTGAAAGCATTAACTAAGCTGATTATATTGACACGAGATCTACCGACACTACCTTTGCGATGGACGTATTGGGCAGCCCTGAGCTAAATAATTGGTGTGTGCATGCTTGCTCTGAGAGACAAGGAGATAAAGATCTGCTGTATACTATGATTATATACCTTCAGTGTTATATGTTACCCAGAGGTCTCTCTGGTTTGGTGTTGCCACAGCAGGTACAGTTCTGGATCCTGAAGTGTGTAGAAATGGAAATTTGCAAGCATGATAGCATGGTGAAATTAGCATTTAGCTCAAAGCACTGCTGTGAATAAATATAACCAGACAGTATATCATATTTAATAGTAATTTTCCTTTGGAATTAATGAAGCATCTGTTTAATGTTGTAATAGATATAATAATGTTTGATTTATGCTCATATGATTTGTGTTAATGCATATTCTGTGACTGAAAGCAGCGTACCATTGCAGGTGACACCAGCATCTTCATGATGACCACAGTTGTGTGTGCCCCAGCCCAGGCTTTTGCACTTAGTTAGCTCCTGCTCTGTGCCATAGCAGTTGACATTGTCCAGGAGAATCAGGCCAGTGCCATAGCCAAAATTGGAGTTAGTGTGTGCATGGGTGGCATTACCACAACCTGTCTGTTGGCACACCACATGGGCATTATTGAGAACCCAGTCATCATCACACACTGTCCCCCACTTTCCCTGGTAGTGAATTTCTACCCGGCCCTGGCAGGAGTTCTGTCCATTTACGAGACGGATGGTGCCATCTCCTAAACCAAGAAGGGAGAGACAAGAGTTTATAGGGACTGATGTTGAATAGGCCTACATTGTTTTCTACAACATATTTTAGACTCTATAGGTTTATTTTAGAATTTATATAAATTTAATATGTGATTTTTGGGTATCAGAAGGAATAGTAGGTGCCAGGTTTAGCATCTGAATTAAAGACAGTGGAAACAGTGACTAAGAGACACTGAAACAAAGAGAGGTGAAGGGTCTGGGCCTACATACAATGGCTCCATTCAAAAAAAGAAAGAAAGAAACAGGAGAGATGAACATCTGATATTACACTACACACAGATATTGTGTTTCAACCTAGACAAAAACACCAGACACAACAAACATTCTCATATGGCCATCATTTCAGAAAGCCATGAATCAGAAATACATCATTTTATTCCCAATGGACCACTGGCCACTGAAGAAGTAACTAGATACTTCACTTGTTAAGAACATTTGGTTTTTTTAGTTCTCATGATTTTCTTAAAAATTAAGGGTGAACACAATAAAGATAAACCTAGCAAACTTTCCACTGAGCTGAAAATCTTTGATGCCGTGTAAAATGTAGTGAGCTTAGCATAACTGAAATAATATAGTGCATATTTTAATTTCAGTTTATGTTTCCTTAAAAAAATAATCCTATTTTTGAATGAACTCTGTGTGTGCTACAGTAATTTCAGGAGAATGTGAGCTTAGGACCCACACAATGACAAAATAAGTCATCATTAATTAATGAAATCTGCCCTTGAATTTTGTAGTAACATCTGCCATGATGATGTGTGCCAGATTGGGTTGTGTGCTTTTTATGTTGATCCTGAAACATAAAAAGCAAGCTAATTAAGCACAGAAAAGATGGCCTGAAGTTTATTTCATACAAATAAAGAACATATTTTCTTTTGCTATTAAGAAAGTTTTATTAGCAATTTTTCATTTGCATTAGAATGAGATGTGCACTCTGATCTATTTATTTAGTAATGAGACAATGCAGCATCTGTGCTTACACCATTATGGAAATAAGCCCGATGGTGTGATTCCATTTTTGGTGATGGACCAGTAATTCCATCAGTTGTGTTTCACTGAAGATTAATGCCACATACAGGTGTGGTTTGTGGTTTTCAATCTGCATATTTGATCCTGGGTCAAATACTTAGAGGTGAAATACTTGGTTTGTTTGGCCACTTGGGGGCAGTCCAAACAAGCTGTGAAACAAGCACTGACTTATCACCTTAGGAAGTTGATATGGCAAACATGATCACAAAGAGTTGACACATCCAGCATAAACAAGGCAACATTAGCATTCGTTTTGATGCACATTAACCATCATGTTCACCACCTTTATACAAAACTAGTTATGTGATCCATGTGTATATGTATTTGGCAGAAGACAAGTCTCGTTTAAATAAAAGCAGGGGACACTTACGTATACTGAAATTCCTCTGGGGTGGGGTGGTGAAAGCCTCAAAACCTTTCCCCCCCACCACTGCTGGTTCTAGCAGCAAAATGAAAGGAAGCAGGCATTAAAATGAAATGAAAGGGAGTTCACCACTACCTCAGTCAACTTAGGGCTGTATAAAAGCCTTACCTCTGCAGGTAATACCCACATCTTCATAGTGGTAACAATTGTGGACTCCCCACCCCAGACTGTTGCACAGGCTGAGGTCTGCTTCACTTCCTCTGCAGTCCACATTGTCCAGCAGTATGGGCCCTGTGCCTTGTCCAAACTGAGAACTGCTGCCCACTTTCACAGCCACTCCACAGTCCAGCTGCCGACACACCACATTGGAATCCACCATGTCCCAGTCATCATCACACACTGTGCCCCAGGAGCTATTGTAACGCACCTCCACTCTGCCCTCACACCTGTTACGTCCATTCACCAGTTGTACTTGGGAGAAATAAGCAGGAAATATCATTTTGTTGTCAGTGTTTAAACACAACAGTCTTTCTATTGAAGTGAAGAAGTTCAGGTTGTTTGCTTATGATTGTACTGCCTCACTAAATAAAAGGCTCATAAAAGTTCTAAAGGTCTGAGGGACATTTTAACAACATGAGCTGAGTTGAGAAGACAGAGTGGCATGACTCTAATGTAATGACAGTTCATACTGTAGCAAGAACAAATGAGGAAAACGTCTCATCCTACCAAGTTAAGGTACACAGTAAGTCTCATGACTGCTTGGAAGTGTGTGAAGAGGATGCAGGAAGGTAGGAGATTATACAGGTTAGATGAGGTTATATAGCAAATAAGTGAGGATTAGGGAAATGGAAAACTGGGACAATGCTTGTGTTCAAAAAGCCCCAGGCACTGATCTACCATCAGTACTCTTTTTCACTGACACATAACCAGTTCAGGCTTTTATGGCATGACCTGGACGCAGATATGTTTTTAACTGAAGGAATGCCTGGGCAGTTGTGTTGGTGGAGGTAACTGTATAACTCATGCCTACCTTGAAACCGTGTCCTCAGTGAGGCTTGCACACCAGTGGCTGAAACAAATGGGAGGAGGGGATATACTGTAGGAGAGAGGGAGAGAATATGGTCAGATTATTTGTTGAAAGGAGGTTCTTGGCCTTCCAGAGCTACTGTACTCTATATCTACTCTATCTATTTCCCTGTAACACTAGACACAGAGTGAAACCACAAGAGAAAGCCTGTTCAGACTATGTGCTGCATCAGCTACAACAAAAATATGTCAGTCCCCTTAATTTGGGTCTTTATCCATGCTAGAAGCATGGAAAGGAAGGAAAAGTGATTTTTTTTTTTATTAAATGGATATTAAATTGTCATAGATGATTCCCTGATTTTTCATGTAGCAGCACCATCAGGTTGACATTTGTGATTTGAGTGAAAAATTTTATGTCTAGTTTTGGATGAACTACAGAAATTCTTGTTCCACTCATGATTGACTGTAATTGACTGTGATCCCCTGACTTTTCATGTAGCGTCATGAGCATGGCAAAAACTGTTTGTCCAATACAGTGATTTATATGGTCAAAGTGTCTATTTGTCATATGCGCAGTCAGGAAACGTGTTTCCCTGTACAATGAAATTTTTACTTTGCCATCCACATGAATGCCACATAATACAAGTGAAATATAAAGTAGATGAGCAATAACACAAATCTAAATAGGCAGTAAAATCACAAATCTAAGGCACTTTAAAGCAGTAAGTGAAGGAAGCAAATAAAAATACAACAAGAACACAATATGATGCAGACAGAATATATGTTTCGTAAGAGCCGTGGAGTGCAAACACTCAACAGTGAGTGTGCAATTATATATGGGCAAAATGAGTATGTAAGCAGTACAGATGGAATTACATGAGGTAGATCTCGAGTCAGCTCTTTAGGAGTCTGATGGCAGTCAGAAAGAAAGAGTTTTTCAGTCTAGAAGTCCTACATTTCACACTTCTGAACCTCTGACCGGAGGGCAGGGAGGCAAACAGTCCATGCTGGGGGTGGGTGGGGTCCTGGAGGCAGCTTTCCTATGAACCCTGCGGTGATAAATGCTCTGCAGAGAGGGCAGTGGAGTCCTGGTGATTTTCTCCGCAATCTTTACCACTCTCTGCAGGTCCATAGCAGTAGTGCTGCCATACCAGACAGTGAGGCAGCTGGTCAAGATGCTCTCGATGATGCAGCTGTAGAAGTTGCAAAGGATCCTA